GTAAAAATTATTATAATCCAAAAGTTCTGTTAAAAATATACAAATTATACAAATACAGAGACACATGTACTCAAAGTAAATATTGCCAAGGAGACACATTTACTCAAAGTAAATATTGCCAAGGAATAAGATCAAATGCAAAATATGATTTCTCAAATTGCTGAATTATGAGCATTTTTTATTTATAGGGTCTGTTTAGAGTTTTCTGTATTTTTCCACTTTTCTACAATGACCAAATACTTATTAATCTATTCTTTTCAAGGGAGTTATTGATCTCCCGTGGCATTGCTAGTGTTGCATAATGCCTGGGAGCTCAATTATTTAGCTGTTAGTACACCCAGAAGACAACAAAGCTGGTAGCTCCAATCTCAAATGGTTCTTCTGAATAGCTGCTGATGCTTTGAGTCACTGCTGTGATTCCTCCCATCAGCTGTTTCCAGAATACTAACTCAGCTCTAAACTCTTCTCATTTTAAGAGATCCTCTGTCCTACTTCATGAAAAATCAAGACCATCACATACTTCAGAAATCTATAAATGCCTACCAATACCCACTCTCACCTTGTATCAGTATCAGAAGCTGAGATCTTTTGAAATCTCGGTTTTTTGATGTTCATACCATAAGAAGGTACATGTAGTATAGACTGATTATCACTTACCCAAAATGCTCAGGACTAGAAGTATTTTGCATTTTAGATCTTGGAATATTTAATAGACTACTAGGTGAACATCCCTAATCAGAAAATCTGAAATCAGAAATACTCCAAAATTGGAATCTGTCATGTCAGATTTCATAGTTTTGGATTAGGGATACTCAATCTCTTTGTTTCCTTTCCACCTTTCTGCTATCCCCACACAGTTATTTATCACCATCTTCTGATTACTGTCTTCTTTTACACTCCTGCTTCTGTCATCATTTGGTTGATTTTAGTATCTGAGTGAATAACAATGGCAGTGGTCGCCACCAACTCCAGATCTAACACAAAGATGGACAATAAGGGGCAGTGTCTTGCCAAGGAATCCACTTTACTTCTTCTGGGACTGGTTTTTACACATGGTCAGGATTTGTTTCAGTACTTTCTGGACATCTTCATCCATCTGGCCCTAGGAAGTTCACACAAAAGACATTTATTAGAACAGGTCTAATTAGGTCATGTCATTTTTTCCCCTGGGGAATGAGATGACTAGTTTTAAGAGAAATGTCAGATACATCAATTCTTGCATTTCCATGAAGAACTGGGTCAAAGAGAGGGCTCTGCTCTTATCCATCTGCAGGATGAGGAAACTGGATCTACCAAAGACTTCACCAAAGGGTATCTGGAGTCTTAATTACAAATGTGAGGCCAGCTAGCCAGAATATCAACAATCACATGGGTAAGGGCTTTAAGAATATAGGAATGCCTGGAAAATAAAGCTAGGGTCTTCTTGATGGAGGAAGGAACCATATCTTCCTGCATTTCTCAGTAAATGATGAAGCTGCTCCTAGTCAGTAGAGCTTGAGTGCTTTGACACAAACTCTGAAGCAAAGCAAAAGACATTTTAAATGAAAAGGATTCTTCTAGTATAATGATGCGAGTTTAGGCAATACCTGCTCTGTATTTCTTTAGAATGCCCAGGTATTTCACTGGGTGTTATATCCATACCTGCACAGCATACAGAAGATGCATTCTGTAAACTGATATGACTTCCTGATGATGTTTCTTGCATTCCTAGAGAGAGACAGTCTGACATTACTAGCAATATTAGGTGGTCTTTAAGGAATAAACACACAGAAAACTATGAGAACACTGACATTAGAGTCTGCACAACTGATTCC